TTTGTGTTTACTTAAGCAAGAAAGTTTTTAGGAACCAAACATCATTCTAGAGCAAATATTGGCTCAGAATTCCCCATCACACCTTTCATACAGGTTGTATTTAGAGCCAGAGAAAAGGAAATAACACATAAGAGCAATCTGATTGACTGCACTCAGCATTTTCCTTACATGCACAGGGTCTCATAGGTAGCAGCTGTGATTGGCTGAAACTCAAAGGCTGTGATTAGCTGGGGTTCAGTTGCTTAGTTACAAGAGTGCACTCTTAGGTTATAATTTATTTACACATCAAACTGGGTTAAAGTTCACGATGTATTAAAGTCAGTTTAGTCAAACTGATTACTCAAGTGTGGAGGTTAGTTTAGGCCAAATTTATTTCAGTTAAATGATTTCTCTCCTCTTGGTCATTCTCTTAAATCTTGAGAAGATAGCCAAAACCATGAGCAGAGGCAATGATGCCATCTTCTGCAACCACAGCAATGAATCTGCTTGATTCCAGTAAAGAATTTATAATTTCAAAATGTCAAATTATTTAGACAACTCCTTTGTCTACATTGGTTATTCCACTCACAATAAAAGCATTTTACGTACCATGTTTTGGGGTGAGTAGAGCCCAGTGCCAAGAAACTGAAATATACATTTCAACAGGAGTCTTCATGAATCAAACCAAGCAAAATCAAACATTGTTCAGGCATTAAAGACACTTCAACAGCACCCAAGTTCTACTGATCACAATCCTTGTTGGAGTATGATAATAAATAAGGAGCACAGTATATTGCAGAATGGTCTAATTTAAAGACTCAGTGTTTTCGCCTTCATTGTAAGAAGCAGTAACCCTTGGAACAGCCAGGCCTGCCATTCACCACTCAGGATGCCTCAAACCAATTTCTACATGTTCCTATGAACACATTATGTGTTCCTTTACCCTGGTCTCCATCTTGTGAGTTAATTTCCTTGGTGTAAGGTGACCATATCTAGAAAAAAATGGCATTATCAGCCACCTTTTAAATCAAACTCTCAGTAGTATTAAAACCAGGAGAGAGCAGTGATATAATTCAAGGATAGAGCACTTCCCCAGCTTGTACAAGGCCCAGGTTCAAGTCCCAACACCACAAAAGAACAAAATCATAATGTCATTGTGTTTACAGTACCTTACTTTTTTGCATCATAACTTTCCCAGTAAAATGGGACCCTCTGCCACAGGAAATTTTTCTAGGATTTCCAGAAAAGTAAAGACATGTTCTAGTAATTTCTTACCTTCCACATGGGAAAGCTTCTATCCAACCAGAAAGCACACAAACTATTATCCATACACATGGTACCCCATCAAGTATGGAAGCTGAATGAAATCCATCTGTAAATATTCAAACAGTTCATCAGGTGGTGGAAATGAACCAACTGAAGCTTTTGTCTTGTCAGGATGATGGGTATGGCAAACCAAACAGCCATAAATCTTTTTTTCTTTTTTTTAATTGATTTTTTAAAATAAATGATAGTTGAATACATTGCAATTCTTGTTACACATATACAGCACAATTTTTCATTTCTCTTGTTATACAATTATAAATCTTTATAGCAATAATTCACCCCACCAATATTTTTGGATATTTTGCTTAATTTTCTTGTTCTGCTTACTGTTGTATTAGCAGTTTTATGGAACCAATGTGTTTCTTCATTAGAATTCTGGGAATTTCTTACCTAGTCTAATGGTATGCTCAGATGCTCAGATTCCTAAAAATTGCATCCCTAGTATACTTTTGATATTATTCAACAGCCTAAGAAAATTTATAAATAATTCCCTTCTAATCTTATCCAACTTCATCACATGTAAAGTTCCTTTAATAACACTCACCTGCCACAAACTTTCTGCAATTTTATCTATTTGATTGTGTCCTAGATTTCTTTGCTTCCCATTCTGGTATAATCCAGTCACTCTACTTCAAGTGAAAGCTTACTCTTTTTTTTTTTTTTTTTGATACCAGGGATTGAACTCAGAGGTATTTGACCACTGAGTCACATCCCCGCCCTATTTTGTATTTTATTAGAGAAAAGGTCTCACTGAGTTGCTCAGTGCCTTGCCTTTGGTGATACTGGTCTCCATTTTGTGATCCTCCTGTCTCAGCCTCTCCAACTGCTGGGATTACAGGCCTGTGCCACCACCCCTGTCTCTCCTTTATTCCTTAACAAAGCGCCTTCATATAGTTAGCCTTGTCTTATCAAAAAACATATGTTCCCTTCACATTTGCATACAGTTTTTCTCCCTAACATATCTAGTAATTTTAGTTATAAATATTAATAAAAATTGTTAACCCATAGTAACTTAAATTTCCTCTGAATGCCAGGAAGCAAGTAATTGTACACTATCACATCAGCAATCTACAGACTGGAAACATTGGAAAATCATAACATCTAGAAACATGTGCTTTCTCATATTACAAGCTGTCAATTAGAACATATTTATTAATGGTCTCTTAATAAAACTACAGAGGAGGCAAATTTTTCTCTATCCCTTTAGGTTTTTGCTAGGTGGGAGAATTAAATTGTTGTTTGTACAGATTTCCCTCAGCCTCAAGTTATTACTCTTGATGAGAAGAATTTTAAAACCTTCTGCAATAGGAACATTATTTCATTATATCTATTCAATTCATGTGTTCTTAATCATTATGCCAAGGTTGTTAAAGAGCTAGTCATCATCTGAAGTCATTCTGCCCATTAACAAACTATATAATATATAAATAACATAAGCTTATTTTATCAGTAAACCCAGGTTTAAGAAACATGCACTTATATATAATGCTGAAAATTCTAAACACATGCCTGTTTTAATTAAACCAACTTCTTGTTTACCAACGATTACTCAAGTCACATGAACTTGAAAACCACTGGGCCAGTTTTAATTTTTTTCAGACTACTTCATGCATACAAACTCTAAGTAGAGCTCTTTAAGTTTAATTTGCCACTATCATTAATAGACAGAAAAATTATCACACATGTATATCAAAGACACAAATACATAGACAGAAGTAGATCTTATAAAATCAGAGCTGATAGTTCAGGCTTAAATACCATCCTCTTCCTAAACCAAGAAAGGAGGCTGTAGGTAAAAGCTCAGTTAAGACAGGTTTACCAGGAAAAACACCTTCAACAAAAGTAAACCGTGCTCTGCAGCTTGAGTAGCAACAGCAGACCCTGCCTGAGGTTTCCATCAGAATTACTAGCATATGGGCTATCAAGAGAGCATTAATTCATAATTATCCAATGGAATGGAACAGTTTATAAATCACAAGGGGTCATTCATCGAGTAGAGGTAGTAGAGTAGCAGGGTCAAGTATGTTGAAATGCTTTAGATGGAGATTGGAAGACCAAAAAAAAAAAGAAAGAAAAAGAATTCATAGGATGTTAATCTACAAAAGATGATGAGTTTGGAATTCAATACTTTCCACAGCAGGTGAGACCTGCAAGGTCAAGCTCATTCTCTAAAAGTAACTCAGATGTGACCCCCACCAATTTGGCTGTCATTGCTATTACTTTTAAACAATTAGACTGTGCTTTGGCTAAGGGCCTAACTGCAGGCTATAATACCATTTTAGTTCCAGGAGGAACTACTCATTGTTTGTGGAACATTGAGGGAAAAAATGCAATCTATCTAAATAAGCTTTCAATACAAAAACTGATAGAGCAACAGACTGATCAATTTTCTACAGAGATACCCTAGGAATTAGGAATTTAATATAGAAGATTTTCAACAATTCTTAGCAAGAAAGAGTTTGAAGGCATTGCAAAAATCAGGACAAGGAGAAAGAAGCTTCAGCAAGGGTTTAGTAAGTGTTGCCATCAAGTGTTTAGGGCTTTTTATGAGAAAGGAAGAATCAAACAGGAAAAAAAAAATTAACAGAACACAGAGGGCTTAGTTTAGTTGACTGTCATCCTTTGATTTAATTGATCACTATTTTAGTTTACTTGATTAAGTCCTGGGGGTGAAGGCTTTGGAGATCTTCCTAAATTTAATGGGGATACAGTCCTGTTTGAAATAAGGTAAGCATCTTGAGGGTCACTTGGATCTAGTTTAAAATATGTACAAGAGGTCTTCTTAGTTTTTGTATTTGTTTCTGCAAAGGCATGTATTTGTTTATTATCTATAAGGAAGTAATTTTTTTTCATTTAATCTTTTCAAGGTCTCTGTGCAGATTAAAAAATGCATTGCAATGTTCTTGTGGGACTTTTGATCTTATTCTTTTCTAATTTACTCCATAAATAAGCAACTTTATCTAGATGAATGCATCCCCACTGTGGCTAATGCAACTCTGAATTGGTTTTGGTAAGACTGACCCATTTCTCTAGAAAAGTACAAGTTTTACATTCATATACATCAAATTGACTGGAGTTCCAAAGTGAGGAGTTCTAGATGCACCCATGATTCCCTGCCTTTTAATTACCTATCTACTGTCCCTGTATAGTTCTTTGTGACCCAGACTACTGATGCCTCCTTAACTGAATTTCATTTATTTCATTGTTGGATCCAATCTAAGTCTGAATCCAACCGCCCCTCCCAACCCTCCCCCTTTCTTTGTGGTAGTGGGGATTGAACCCAAGGGCACCTAATCACTGAACTACATTCTCCAGCCCTTTTTATTTCGTGATAGATTCTTTAAATTGCCAAAGCTGGCCTAGAGCCTGTGATCCCCATTTCAGCCTCCAGAGTAGCTGGGATTACAGGCATGCTCCACCTGGCTGGCCCAGCAGTTTTGCCAGTGACTAATCAACAAGAACAAACCCCAAGTCATGTACCCTCTCAAAACACAAGACCAAAAGCTGAAAAGAAAAAGATCTACGCAAGGGTTATAAGAATTTAACTGCTGAAACTAAATTGGCTCTCAACCCAGTCCAGACTGTGTGGGATCAAAGCATACAAAGGCTTCTTCTATTCAATTCAGTAAAGTGGAAAAAACACAATGAGGAACCAGAGAGCTCAGAACACAACTCAAGTGGAGCTCAAGACTTACCAGGTGCTCTGGTTGCCGAGTAGAGATCAATGGGCTCGAGGGGCCTGGCGGGTACCAAACAAGATCCAAGCTCCTTCTTCCAATTGGCCAGCTATACACCAAACGGTTAAAAACCCGAAAGCAGTTAAATTTACAAAGTTGATGTGAATGAGAAAAAAAGTTCGGGAACACAGCAGCAGTACTCCACATGAAAGATGGTTCAACACACCCAAACTCTCCACAAGCACAGGTTATACAACTTGATTGGCTATAGCCAGCATTTGCCTTATGTGGACATAATCGGATCAATTGACAGCCTGTAATTGGCTGAAGCTCAACTCCTATGATTGGCTGAAGTTCCGTTGCTTAGCACAAGAATATCCTCTTAGTGACGTTTGTTTTCACGTCAAGCTAGGTTATAGTTCACCATGTATAGAGGCCGTTTTGGGCCAAAATTTTTGCTCAAGTACAGAGGCTGGCTTAGACCAAATTTATTTCAGTTTATGCCACCATTATTTTGGTTTATCTTCTTCCTAATTTTTTTACAATATGTATAAATATTTAAAAGTACAATGTTGCTTTTTGGTGTTATAATGAGTGAAAATTTAACACAAATAACAATTGCAGAATAAACAGAAAAGTAGGACATGTGATCCTAGTCTATTGCAGTGCTTTATATTGCATGTAAAGAAATATGATATTAACTGAAAATGAACTGCATAAAGCAAAGTATGTATATTGGAATCTCTATTAAAAAAATGAAAATTGGAGAAAAGCCTAGCTCAAAACCCAACAGGAAAATTAAAATATCATCTTGAAAATAAAGTTTAAAAATCTTCTTAATAGGCAGGAAAGGCTGAGCACCACAAGGCACGCCTGTAATTCCAGGGGCTTGGGAGGCTGAGGCAGGGGGAATCACAAGCTCAGGCCAGCCTCAGCAAATTAGCAAGGCCCTACATAACTTCAGGAAGCTGAGGCAGGAGGATTGCAAGTTCAAAGCCAGTCTTGCAACATAAAGAGGCCCTAGGGAGGTCCTAAGCAACATAGTGAGACTCTGTCTCTAAATTTAAAAAAAAAATGGGTTGAGGATGTGGTGGTTCACCAGTTAAATACCACTGGGTTTAATCTCTGGAACAAACAACAAAAAAAAAAACCAGTCATAATTATAAATCTATGTTAATCTATACATCTTGTATAAAATGCAATTTGTGGCAATAACAATACAAAGACTAAGGGAAACAGATACATGCAAGCAGAGTTTGTATAATATTGATGCTAAATTGATATTAACCCAAACTAGGCTATGCAGTTTAATCCCAAGATAACAGCTAAAAAATAAATTATATAGGACAGAAAATGGGAAAAGAATCAAAACAGTACGCTACGAAATCAATTAAACATAAAAGAAGGCAGTAACACAGGAATTGAAATACAAAAATACACTAGATGTATAGAAAAGAAATAGTAAAATGGTAGAATATTGTTCTTTTTTTCCAGTGCTGGAGATGGAACCCAAGGCCTCATGCATGCCAGGTGCATGTTTTACTACTGAGCCACATCACCAGGCTCTGAATGACATTCATTATTAGCAATTATTTTAAATGTAAACATGATATACACTCTCCAATTAAAATACAAAGATTAGGTCAGACACGGCGGCACACACCTGTAATCTCAGCAGCTCAGGAGGTTGAGGTAAGAGGATCTCAAGTTCAAAGCCAGCCTCAGCAACAGTGAGGCACTAAGCAACTCAGTGAGGCCCTGTCTCTAAATGAAATGCAAAATAGGGCTGGGGATGTGGCTCAGTGGTCAAGTGCCCCTGAGTTCAATCCCCAATAACCTCCTCAAAAAAAAAAAAAAAAAAAAAAAAACGGGGCTGGGGGTATAGCTCAGTTGGTAGAGTGTTTTGTCTAGCATGCACAAGGCCCTGGGTTCAATCAATCCCTATCACCACAAAAAGAAAAAAAAAGGTTAGAGAAATGGATAAAAAGTCTGTCCACATACTGACTACAATATACTTTAGATCCAAAGACCCAAATAAGTTGAAAGGAAAAGAAATGAAAAAGACAATCCATGCATATAGTAACCAAAAGAGAGATGGTATGACTATGCTAATATCAGACAAAATGCAATTTAACTCCAAAATCATTACAAGAAACAAAGGAGGGCATTACACACTAATTAAAGGCCAATTCACCTGGAAGTTGTATCAGTTATAAAAATATACGCACATAATAACAAGCTCCAAAAAAATATGAGGGGAAAATGATAGAACTAGAAGGAGAAACAACTTTACAGTAATATGTGGAGACTTCAATACTTCACTTTCAATAATGGATAGAACCAGACAGAAGAGCAATAAGAAAATACAGGACTTGGACAATGCTGTAAACCAACTTGACTTAAATATACAAAACACTCCACCAACAACAGAACACACATTTTTCAAATGTATGCAGACTATTCTCCAAGATAAACTATGTTTAGGTCACAAAAGAAGTTGCAATAAATTTGAAAAGCTTAAAACTGTAAAACTCTCTTCTCAATAACAGAAGAAAAACTGGAAATTCAGAAAGATATGGAAATTAAACATTATACTCTTAAACAATCAATGGGTCAAAGAAGAAATCACAAGAGAAATTAGAAAATATTTTCAGACAAATGAAAGTGAGAACACTGCATACCAAAATATATGTGAGACAGCAAAAGCAGGGCTCACAAGGAAATTTACAAGTACAAATGCATACATTAAAAAAAATCTCAAATCAATAACCAATTTTACTTCTCAAGGGACTGGATAAAAAGAATTACAAACTAACCCCAAAATTGCAAAAGGAACGAAGAAATAAAACTTAAGTCAAATTAATGAAATAGAGAATAGAAACACAATGGAGAAAAATCAATGAAGCCCAAGTTTGTTCATGGAAAAGACTTTCCAAATTCAAAGACCATTATCAAGACTACCTATGAGAAAAAGACAGAAGATTCAAAATCCTAGCAGCACACAACTTACAAAATTGACTCAAAAGCCAGGCATAGTGAGGAACACTGGTAATTCCAGTAAGTGGGGAAACTGAGACAGGAGGATTGCAAGTTTAAGGCCAGCCTCAGCAAGGTGGTGAGATCCTCAGCAACTTAGCAGAGTCCTGTCTCAAAAAGCAACAAAGTAAAACAAAAAAGTGTGAGATCAGGCAAGGCGGGTGGCAACCAAAGGAGGCAGATTTAAAAAGGCAGCAGAACAAAGCTTTGAGACTCACTCCAGGGCAGAACTCGATCAGACAGACAGAGTGGACAGGAGAAGAGTCTGAAGCGAAAACGAGTGGGGGCATGACAGGACTGGAAGTTTATGGGGCTTACAGCAGGAAGGGAAGAGCTTGGGGACAGGAAAAGGTGTTTTTAGAGTCCCTTGTCCTGCTGGAGTTGGTCAGGGGTACTGGTGGAAATCCAGGATTGGTCTGGAGACCCTGCTGATTGACAGATGTTAGCCCCCTGATTGATAGGCGTTTCTGTCAGCGCCTGATCGATGTTTCTTTTCCGCCCGGCTGCTTTGTTCTAAGTCACTGCCACCGACCTGACAAAAAGGGCTGGGGACATAAAGTATCTCTGGGTTCAATCCCTAGTAATACCCGCCCCCAAAGAAATACAGAATGTGAATAGACCATTAATATCTGAAGAGATAAATCAGTGATCAAACAGCACACAAGAATTGCCGCAGTCTGGCTGGGCAAACTAATGAGGGTGGGGTGGGGGAACAAGCAACTTGAGCCGCTTTATTGCAGGACAGCAGAGGTATATATACTTAACGAATTACACACAGCTTATCTTAATTAACAAACTATATACAGCAGTCAACCAATAAGGAATCCCTCATCATCTTAATGATTACACACAGCTTAACTTAATTGACATAATCTAGACACAGCAGTCAGTCATTAAGGAATCTCTATCATCTTACTGGCTGGCTGGTGCTACTTCACAAACCACTCCCTCTGGCAAAGTGCCAGGCGCCATCTTAACTTGTCTGTGGCTCTCAACAAAGAATAAAAATCCAGGACAAGATGGCTTTGTTGAGGAATATTCTACCAAATTTTTAAGAGTTAACACCAATCCTTCTCAAACTCTTCCAAAAAAAAAAAAGAAGGGTACATTTCATAACTCATTCTATGAAGTCATTATTACTCTAAGGCCAACGTTCCTTAATAACATAGATGCAAATTTTCCTCAATAGTGGCAAATCAAAAGCAGCAGCATAAAAGGGTTATGCAACAAAAGGGGGTTTATCACAGTAATGAAAGTGAGTTTCAAAATACAAAAATCAATTAATGTAATAAATCACACATATTGAATGAAGAAGAAAAAAAATAACCCCATGGTCATTCCAATAGATGCAAAAAAGACAAGATGAAATCCAGCTACTTTTCATGATTAAAAAAAGTCAGTGATCTGGGCCTGTGGCTCAGTGGTAGCACACTTGCCTGGCATGTGTGAGGCCCTGGGTTCGATTCTCAGCACCACATATAAATAAATAAGTAAATAAAATAAAGGTCCATCAGCAACTAAAACTAATTGTTTAAAAAGTCAGAAAAATAGGAATAAAAGGGTACTTTCTTAACATGATAAGTTGCATCTTTGCAAAACTCACATCCAATGTCTCACTTAACAGTGAAACAGTGAAAGTTCCCTCCCACCCCCAACAAGGTCAGGTACAAGACAAAGATGTTCCTTGCTATTGAACATTGTACTGTGGCTCTAGCCAGAGTAGTTCAGCAAGAAACAAAAATAAAGGCATCTAAACTTTAACGGCAGAGGTAAAATAATTTCTCTTCACATACTTGCATATACAACTCTTTATCTTTTATACTTGATGAAGGTTTAATATGCAGAATGTATAAAGAACTCCTCTAAGTTAATAAAAAGACAAACAACACAACTTTAAAATGGGACTCAAAGAGACATTTCTCCAAAGAAAATACACAAAATGTTTAGCATTATTAGTCATCAGGGAAATACAAATAAAAACAGCACAGCTATACTATTTCACACCCATTAAAATGGATTTTTTCTTTTAAGGGAAAATAACAAATATGAGTGAGGATATGGAGAACTTGGGATCTTCCTGCACTGCTGGTGTGAATGCTGGCAGAAAACAGTTTGACAGCTCATTGGAAAGTGAAACAAAGAATTACCATATGACATAGCAAGTCACCTTCCAGGTATACACCCAGAGGAACCTAGGAACCGAATGCAGGCCTGGAATAGATACCCATACACTCATGTTCTCAGCAGCATCATTGAGCCAAAAGGTGAA